TATATATATATAAAGCGCATATAGTCATACCTTTTAAAGACAGAATTTCAGAAGGCAAAGATATAATTCATTGGAACATGCCAATGATGGAGACAAAATGGGATGCTGCACAAGCACACGGCGGTTCATATGTATAGTCATATGGGATTGTACCTTGATATATGGGACGACAACAGAGTGTTCGCTACAATATCCTCATTTAAAGCTAGTAGTGCACACTCACATGAAGTAGTAGAAAGATGGATCGCAGGTACTCACCAGCCTGTCTATCATCCACCGAATATTGGATTCTACAACGGACGTAGCGAAAAGGGTAATATGGAGTCGGTTTCAAACAAAGCCATAGAAACTGGCATCCTCTATTCTGGCATCTAGTTGACTCGATGGTCGAGAATTCACGCTTGCTATATAATATGATACACAACAAAGGGGTATCTACCATAGAATTTAGAGAATCGCTTCTACAATCTTTGGGTCGCGATATACTAGATCAACATGTGGATCCACTACAATTTCCGCTGGACACGTGTTTGTTGCGTGTTCGTTGAAAGTATAGAGCCCAAGAAAAAGGTGTAATGAGACTGTGCGTGGACGTTGCCATATATGCTACTTGAAAAAAAGAAAGAAAGATACAAAGCACACAAAGTGGTGTAGTCAGGTAGAATGCAATGTCTATTTTTGCTCGATTGAGTGCTTTCAAGAGTATCATTCGGACCAAATTGGTGTGAGAAATAAGCGACGACGACGTTCAAATAGACCACTAGTATAGTACACCAAACGAAACTAATGAACACTATTGAATGCGGCCAGCATAAGCTTCAAAACATGCGTTCACAGCGTTCACATACTAAATATTAAAAACAACGTAGGTTAAACGAGAAAATAAATAAAAAATCTGATGGGTCGAATAAAAAAATTCGACCCGAGCACTGCGAGCAGTGTCGGTTAAAATGGTATTCATAATACATATTCATACCTAGCCTTCTTCTAAATCGAACACAATTTATTTAGAAGGCTACACCGCTACAGCCTACAGATGAATATTTTTACGAATTGATTTGTATCATTGTTGTATTATTAAAATGACTTTATGTGTTGAAAAGGAAACATGTGAAAGGAATGTAGTAGAGCAGACGCAGGGCCATTGGGCTATTCAGTTGTGGCGGGCGGTTGCCGGCGTTATATACTCGAAAGAGTTTCTCTGTATGTTTTGTTTGTGTTTTTATTAAAAAAAAGGTACATAAAGTTATTCATGACCCTCTCAGCCTCTCTACTCAATCCAGTAGAGAGAGAAGCCGAAATATAGGGGATCGAACTAACGTCCGAAGACCGAAGGACTTTGTATGTACTTATGTGTATGTACATATAATCTCAAAAAGAATAATATTTATACACATTATATGCACTGTTTGTTTTTAGAAGGTTATGTATACACGCATATATAAAGCGTCATAATACATTAGATAAATAACTACTCGTTTAGATCACTTCGTAGCACGACGCACAATGGTATTCTAGGGCACAATTCTGAAGATATACTAGCCAATTTCTGTATACCACCTTTCTCTGTATCATACACACACATACACTAACAAACACACACATACACACACACACACACATATATATATATATATATTTATATATATATATATTTCTATATACGTACTTATATACATACATACATACATACATTTAGAAATATAAACATAAAGAAATAGGTCATACACATATATCTATATCTACAAACTGTAGACAGTCGGTCGATATGGAGTCGAAGCCAGAAACAATGGGCGAACAGGAGAGTGTAACTGTACAGGGAAAATTCGGGGGGTTTGCATTAAAGTCCAAGGTGAGCAGCAGAGGACTCGAGTGTAGGTTACAGAATGTGTTTTATGTGATACGAGTACATGCGTGCTTTCCAAGGTAAGGGTATGAGTTTCTCTAAACAACTTAATTTCTGCCAGGATGTAATATGTAATTTCCCCCCCGATTACTACGATCGAAGATCCGCGTGCACTTGAATCTGCGTGCATATATATATATATATATATATATACGGCATAAGACAAGCTATTCCGAGCTAATGTATTCCTTCCATGTGCGTGTTGGCCGCACTTAGTAACGGAATTATGGGCGTGTTGCTGTCTGATACTCTGTGTGTCTCACACCCTTTCAGGCTGAAGTCAAGTTACAACCTGCCAGCACGGTTTTGGGTGTCAAGGCGCATTTCACCGATGACAGGCAATCCGAGCAAAAGATCACATCGTTGAGCAAGGATGTACAGCCCGAGAAGAAGCAAGCGCTAGTGATACCAATGGTACAAAATGCCGGTATGTGTGACGACATGCGGGTGTAGGGTTGAGTATGTGTGGTGACGCGGGCTGTTGGAATGGGCATGTGTGGCAGCACATCACAGGGGCAGGTGTCTGAGAGCGGACGGTCACGCTAAGATGTGCTTGCGCTGAGGTACTGTAAGAGTGAGAGATGACTGTCGTGTATGGCGGAGAGGGCCGCTATTATCTTCGGGAGTGGGCTGTTGTTCGTGTACTGAGAGGGTTGTTGTACGTGCACTTGAGGCTTACGCGGTGTGGGAGGTGCTTCGTGGCTGAGAGCGTTTCCAATTGCGTTGTGGCAGTGGTCAGCGTTGTGGGCGAGTTTCCATCCATGCGTATATACGTTACAGTTAGCATCAACGTATTTATTGACAGCGCTGCTAACGTCGTGAGGTGCAATCTGTTTACCATCACAGTCAACCACCCTGTTGCTATCAACTATCAATCTCGATGATGTTGTAGGAGATACTCTGGGCTCCGCCACTTCTCGATCTTACATATTTTCACACTACACTATGTTGGCAGTATATGGGCACAAAATACGGCCGTACATGTTTGTGGCACAGAGTCAGGCATAGACGCCGGTGTACATTCGATCCACTTGCACTACATAGTACACTGAGGGCATATTCATCTGTGACTGTCTTGTCTGAAGCACACTTGGGGTTGTGTGAATGTGTCGGGGTTTGATAAGTTGGTAGTATGACCGAGTAGGCTCATCCCTCAAGCACAACTAGCTTCAGCCGATGCGAAACTCACTACCACAGTTCAGGTTAATCAAACAGCCGCACACGCATGAACCACAAGAAGGAAAGAGAGTTCTTCATCGTTCACAACATACCACATAACTATACCCAATTGCCACAAATCGTGATCCATCGGAAACGAGACTCATCCTTGATAGTGTTTGTGATGCGCAGTACCCTACAATGTCCAATTACTGCAGGCGTTGACGACCGTTCCCGTGCAACCTTTGCTTGTACGCGCGAGTATCTCCCTATATCGTATCCTTTATACTTGCACAAACTAGGACGTGTATAGCAAAACGTCTGTCATGGATATTGATCCTGTCATGTTCATGCGGGTACATAATTCACTGTAGGGACTTTCGCGTACGTTTTTAAACACATTAGTCAGAACTGACAGTGCATGCGTGAAGGAGAGTATGTGAGAGGAAGCAGTTTGTGTGTGGCTTTCTTGGTATATATCCCGCGATAGTAGCCAATGGCACACGGGTACCTGCCCACAAGTACAGTGTTATGATTGATTGACTTGTTTGCGTTCATGCAACATGCACGCAGTGGATACAGCCGATGGGTTGGTGGCGGCACACGTGCTTGCACACATGTATAGCGCAACAGTTGTTAAAACGTTTGATACGTATTGTTTTAACCCTCCAGTGGTCACAGAAGTGATGGTATTAGCAGCATGTGCACTTGCCCGTAGGCACAGTACAGTAATCGATAAACCATGGACATGCGCATTTCATTCAATCACACAGCCGATGTCACCATGGCAGCAGCTGCGGCCTCGCTATTGCTGGATGCCCAGAGAGACGGCACAGACCAACCAGAGACTGGCGATAAGATGGTGCTGCCGTTGCTACAGAAGAACAACTTGGTTACCAAGGGCCCAGGTGTGTGTCAGTACATGTGTATGCGGGCACAAATATACAGAGAAATACGTTCCTCGAATGGTTGTGGTGTGTGTGTCTGCATGTGTGTATATTCTAACAGGTCTGCGTAACGGTACAATGTCTATCTGTTAATACCCGGGGTCCAGATTTATTTGTGTGCATGTATTTGTATTTGTATTTAATTGGGTAC